CGATAATTTGAATTGCAGGAGACTGTTAATGTTGACTCGCTATTTCAACAGCACTACACCTAACTATGGAGAAGGGCCGCTGTTTTATTCACCATTTAATGATTTTTGTTGACTAGGTGTTTATTATGGACATCATTCTTAGTGGAATAGCAACGTTTTCTGCAACTGCGATAATATTTTTCAGGTTGTGATATATCTTGGATATCTTGAAAAAAGTTATGTTAGTAAACAAAGTCACGCAACACCGCAAGCTTCTGCTGTGTAGTTTTTCACCTCAAGGTCCTCAAGTTAGCAGCCCAACTTTTTTTTTTTCGCTATTTACTCTTATCTTTTCTTATCGTTAGCAATCATGCCGTGTTGCAGTCTGGGCGATAATTTTCCATGATGCAATCACGGTCTTTTTCTTAAAGGGTAAACACGTGCGAGGTTTTTCACAGAGCTTAAATCATAAAAAGAAAACGATGTCATTCTGTAGCTTTGCTTCTCTTCTTGGGGGGGCTTGTGGTGTAAGTTCTGAAAATCCAAACGTGGCTGACTTTGTCGAATTGAAAGACCGTACTAGGGATGTTACAGCTCACCTGAAGTGTTGTAACATTTTGACGGATGTTGAAAGCGTCAACAAGGAAAGGAAATTATTACTCACACGGGCAGGTTAGTAAAGATCATTTTGATTTACAATTTTCGATTACAACATGAATACATACCCACTATTCACTTCTACAGCATTAATTTACTAATTAAGTTTTCTTTACCAGGGATTTTCATCGCACAGGAATGTCAGTTGCATATGACGGTATGCCCTAAACACAGAGACGCGTACGGTACTCGCTGGCGAACAGGCAAGACTAGATGTTGCGTTCCAGCAGAAGTAGCGGGTCACAAGTCGGCAACCTGTTCAGGTGATCGTGGAATTTACAGAAAACAATCTTGTTTTGTTTTTAAAGAAACTGGAATGCTCGTCCCAGTTGGGTCGCGTAAGTGTAGTCAAACCTTACATTACTTTAGTAGGAAAAGTATGTAAAATTAATCTAATACACTCTTATTGCTTTGACCCTCTTTCACAAATGAAACGGACGCAATGTGCGCAAGAGGATGAGGAACACCAACAAACGGCCGATATTGCAGACAATTAACTCAGTGGTCTCTCTCCTTGCCTAAAGTATCGCTGGAAATTCTCCTGCGGAGCAAATAGCCGACCGAAGAGCCATATAGGGGTGGAACAGGGGGTCACCTGCCGCGTTCCGTACGAGTATCTTCCATTCCAGGCTTCCGCCCCTTTTTTCTTGGCTTCCTTCCTTTATCCATTCTTCGATTGCGAAATATTTAAAAGCATTGTTGCGCGATTTCCTCTCCTGCCCCCTATTCTCCCGGGTTCCCACCCCGAATTATCCCCTTGCAGGTTACCTTAAAGAACGAGTGAGCGTTAATGAGTGAGAAGGACTTAGAATACCACCGCTTCTATTACCATGCTAATGTATCCGTGCCTAACTCTTCTCTGTTTCTTTTTTATCTGTAGCTATTTGCAGGCAATGCAGGGATCATCTGGGTAAAATGATGGTGTCTACTTCTACGGACTCTACAGAAACTGCCTTATCTTCACCAACAGTTGTTGTTGAACCCGTGTCCGTACAGAAAAGACAGGAAACGTTTTTATTGGTAATTGTCGTTTAAACAGATAGGCAGTCCATAGGTTTAATCAGTATCCTGCGTTAGTTTGCGATCATTTAATTAGTTTTCATATTTTTCCCTCCTATAGGAAGCCGAGGCAAGTAGTACAGAAGATATATGTGACAATGTAAAACACCTTTCATTTGACGACAGCTACATTTTTGGGTCATCCGAAACCACAAGTACAACTAGCTCCGGTGAAGTGGTTCTTCGTGCCAACAAACCTTTAAGGCTGCTTAATGAATTCCTTTCTGAGTGTGACGTAAAAACGGTTGATAATCCACAATTCGAGTGGTTAAAGAGTGCTGATAGAACTAAACGAAGATACATACAACACACTAGAGATATCATCATCGCAGTGTTGAAGGTGGTGTCCCCCGAAAACGCAGGTTATCTTTGGTCGGCACTCCAAGCAACGAGGGCTGTCAATGATGAGCTTGGTGCAGAGGGTATAATGCTCCCATCCCAACGACTTTACCTCGAGGCCATAGCAGAAACGTACAAAAATGCCGGCAGCTGGGACACGCGGAGACAAATCCTCTCAATTATGACTGCCACTGCGAGTTTTTCTACCATACGAGAACTTATTCCCGGTCTGTCCCAGTATAGATACACTGTGGCAAACTTACATCGTCTTCAGCACGGAGTAGCGACACCCGTTCCTGTGCAGCCTTCAGCGAGGATACGGATAGACGAGGCGCAACTTGACCATTTTTTGCAGTTCATTACAAGCCCACATATTGTTCAAGATATGCCTTTTGGTCAAAAGAGTTTACGCCTGTCCAACGGTAATGTATTGGAAGTACCAAATGTGATTCGGCAGGGGCACCCAACGAGGATATAGTTCAAAACCACTTAACATAGCATTGTTGAATGTATTTTAGTATTCAAGCGGTAGATATAGGCATATTTTTATCCCCTAAAAACTTTTCATCTGTTCGGATTTCCTAGCTGAAAGTCTAGTGATCCGAAAATTATAGGGATAAAAACTTACCTTCTCGAAAATTTCAGCCAGGAAAAGGCTACCGAAAATTCTAGGTGGCCTTTTTTAGGGTCAAAATCCCTTAAAAATGGGTAATTATACCATTTTGTAGATGTTCGAAAATCCTAGGAGAGGTAGGCAAGCAAGAAATTTTACAACAAATGCTCCGAAAATTGTAGATCTCAAATCGTCTTCCGAACAGATATTTTCCCGAAAATTGCCGTTGGGTGCCCCTGATTCGGTGTCTAATACCAGAGCGAATTGCTGTTCAATATGAGCAGTATTGCAAAGAAGTCGGATTCACCCCTTTCAGTAAAAGAACAATACTGCGTGTATTAGCTGCTTGTAGCGCGACGGTCAGAAAGAGCCTCCAGGGACTATTTTGCAGCCGATGGAGCCTCTGCATTTGACAAGATGATTGCACTCCTAAATCAACTTAAAGGCCTGGTTAGCATGCAGTGCAGGCGTTTTCTTTGAGCGCGCAATTTGCTCGCGAAAGTGTCATGTTGAAAATTCCCTAATAGAGGAGGAGGTGGGGCGAGTCAAAGGGAGCGGAGAGGGGGCGGGGAGAGAGAAGAGAAAACGCCTGCCCGAAAACACTGTGAAAATGAGAAACACCCCCTAATTAGACGCGCGTGACCGCTCTTCCGGAAATGAGTAGCCGACAATAACAAAACAACCAAACAGTCGCTCCAGTCCAAAGAAAAAGAAGCTGGAGTTTCTCATTGTGTAGTACACGCGACATTCCCAGCCGCTCCTATTCCAAAAGACTGACGGAATAAACAATACAGTTTTACACTTAATTGTCAGGCATCAATCTACTTTCCTATGCCGCACCAATCAGGAGCTCCGTTTGCCAGCGTACGGAGTTTCCCAAAAGAACAATGATATGGGGCAGGCGTATTTTTTTTCTCCCCTCCCCCTCCCCCCTTTCCTTCTTTCGCCCTCACACCAACCGTAAGGGTTACTATTTGTACTCTCCCCAATCTTCCACTGTCATAAAATCAAAGATGGCGGCTACAACAATATTACGAACACAAACAAGGTTTCGCCCACCCAAAATACGCCTGCACTGCAGGCTAAGGCCTGGTTGAAGATACCACGCTAGGAAGATGGCAGGAAATGCTCAAGAACTCAAAACTTTACCTAAAGGCGGACTTCAAGGTAAGATATTGCTTAAAGAAATAATAGTCCAGTTTCAAGTTTGCTATGACCGCTGAAGGAAAGAAGTGAAGAAGCATTTTTTTACAGGCTTAGCCTCCATCTGAAATTCCCATCTAACGAGAAGACCTGTTTGTTACTCCAACTATTGTGTATCTTTAAATTTCAAACACTGACTTGCCGGAATTTGTGGATATTTCATTTTATGTCTAGGCTAACCTTGTATGAATGCGTCGGTAATATAATGTTTGTATAGCTTTGTATTCAGCGGTAACTTTAAATTCGAAAATGAACTATTGACAGGTTTTTAAAGTTCATCAACTCCTTTTTTTCTCTCCCTTTTATTGATTTCAGGGTCTGTGATTTTCTCTACCCCAACCCTAGTCATCCATGCTACTTTTATAACTTTAGACTGCGAGAAGTCTCTTATTTTTCTTTGCCAAGTTACCTTGCCTAGTATTTAATAGAGTTTATTTCTTCTTTAAGCCAATGAGTTTTTTCTTTCATTTCTCGTAACTGTCTTGACGAAAAGCAAGATGTTTCAATTGCGTGACAATTGTCATGTTGGATCAAAGGTAAAGTTCCCGAGGAAAGCGGACACAATCCTTCTTTCGTCAAACTCCATTTTAAAGTATCGAGTCCTATAGATCTCGTTTTACATTGCTTGTATAAATTCTTTTATGAGTCTATATCGAACAACATCCAGCTGGCCTGATCCTTCGAAGGGGACTTTTTCATTTCCGGTTTGCGCCTTTGACAAAGGGACCGCGGAGCTATGGGGTTGAGTGTGCTGTAGCCCCACGAACAACAATTTATTATTCTCATTTTTATCCTTATTATTTATTTTAATCTTTGTATTAAAAAATTTGACAAATTTTTCTTAGGATTGAAACGCGTTTCTGGTGATTTCAGAAGCTCTAGATTTCAAAATTTGTCGAGGGAGCATACCCCAAGACACCCTGTCAGCAGTCTTTCTGTACTAAGAAAGGCGTACTAAGAAAGAGACTAAAGGAGGCTCTCCTCGGAGGGGAGGCCCTAGGACCCTCATAGATAAGTTGGCGCCAATGCACTCACACTACGTGGGAACTACAGTAGCTCCTCCTATCCAAAATATGCTCTACGACCCCTGTTTTATATCAACGTTCATATAAAACTCAATTTTTTGAAGCAGCATTTTGCTATTTGCCTTTCAAACTGCACTGCAAGAGCAGCATCTTACAAGGTCTTCGAGCAGAGCGATGTAAGAGGTCTTTTTTCTCTGGTCAACCCCAGATGGTAATGCAAGATTGAAACACTCGCAAAGGAGTTTTAAGATTGCAAGTTTGAGATTTTTGAGGGTGCTATTCTTGACCATGGAACAGATGTTGTACTGTTGGTAATGAATAGGATGAGTTACATTTAACTGCTCAAAAACAGACTCCTTAGCATTTGATAAATTAAATTCTTCCTCCATAGCAAGCAGATCTTGCTCAGTTACAGCTTGTGCGCAGGGGGCCGTCTGTTGTTTCACTTTTGCTGCCATTCTTGAAAAAAATGAAGCTACTTGTTGAGTTGTCAAAAACTCAGAGACACTGAACAAGCGCTCCCAGTTCAATCCCTTTGCTCTTCTCATTTCTGTTGCAACAATTTCCGCGTCGACCGTCTTGCCGCTTTCTTGTCCGATGGTAAATCTAGCAGTCAGATACTCTCGTTGCTTTTCGTTAAACCGGTAAGCTTTCTTTACTTGTTTTAAAGCGAAGCCTTCAGGCGGTGTTACATATCCAGTGTTACGAGGACAGGTTTCAGGAGGTAGAGGAATAGTTGGCACGGAACTTGAACCTTCCTCGAGCCTTGCAGCATATTTAACCTTCGCTTTATCAAGAAGTGTCTCCCTTTCAACGGTCTTTGTGCATGTTCCGAACGCGAGATGCTTTTCTAGAGAACAGTGCCGTTGGAAACTGCGCGTGCAGCCCTCTTTTGGACATGGAAACACTTGATCATCGCTTTTTGCTTCACGGCCATAGTCCTCTTCTTCTGCGAGATCCGCTGTGGAAGTTTTAGTAGGTTCTTTAAGTTTTCTCCTTGGGGCGATCTCCTTAAATTCTCCGAGGGAAAAAGTAACCGAAATATTCTGGTAATGGCGTTCTGTGGAAAATAATAACATGTCACTGAAAAGATTAACGACAAAACCAAACATACCTAAACATTATCCAGAGCGAGATTTCGTGCGTCTCACATTGCGAAAATAGCGTTACAGGGGCGGATCCAGGATTTTTTTAGGAGGGGGTGCACTCGTCTCTTGCTCTTCTTCAACCCCAATAAACCACATATTTTTTTTTTGGCAGAATATCAGTTGTATTAGAAAACCGCAGGTCATCTCAGGGGGGAGGGGGGTGCGCACCCCCTGCACCCTCCCCCTAGATCCGCCCCTGCGTTAGGTGCAGCATGTGAACTGCTACCTAAATCAAGTAAAAGTTTCTTTTTCCAGTATAGTGTTTTAACTAAAACAAATCTTGAAATAAATTTTACAACAAAAACTGGTGCCAAGCATGATGTTTTCAAGTGATCTTGATTTCAAGCTTTCCCTCGCTGAATTTTTCAGTCTCAAAACTAAAGAGAGATCATGCTACATTATAACTAGAAACTGCATAGAGAATATAACGTAAGGTTTACCATTTGTTCCTTCCAAAGAAATGCATTTGCCGGGGCCTATATCAAATGCCTGCCACACCCTCATTCCACCGGGATAAAATCTGAAGTTGTTCAGTTTACTTATGCCAGTAATCTTCTGTTGCGTTGCGGGAACAGTTTCGGGTTCCCCGAGACTGTCTAACATCACTACACGAATCCCAGGTAGACCCCCATGGGATAGAATCGCGTTTTCCATTTCCTTCGCATTGGTAACATTGTTCCCCTCGTTTATGAATCGTGTTATGTGTCCTTTAATTGTTGCAGCCATGCGATCAGCAGGCCCTTTTCTGCCCTGGGGATCTGAGAAGCCTATCTCAGCAACGCGAATTCCTGCTTCTTTTTCTATTGTGGGCACTGACAATATAGTATAAGTGCTATGGTAGCACCCTGCGTTGTCTTGACGAAAAAATGCTTGATTGATTTCTGGATGCTCTGATTTCAAAGTTCTAAGGATATGTGCCATAATGGAGACCACAGCGGAACTTCCTTGGGTGCAGTTCTGGACAATATGTACAAATCCTTGTGACTCAAACTGGTCAGCTCGGCGGCGCACGACAACGGATATATGCCAAGAGATGCCGCGCTTACCAAACCAGTCTGATTGAGATTCACGGTACTTGCGCGGTAGAAATTTCATGGCCCAGTCCTGGGTAATAAAGACTGAACCACTATCTAGCTCTCTGAGAATCTTTAATCTAGACTGGTCTTGCCTCACTGTACGGAGCTGGTGAGCCTTCCAGGCATGAATAAGGTCCCTGCTGTGTTTTACCAAGTATGTGGCTTCGTCATGATCATCTTTCGTGTGAAAAGAAGCTTCTTCAACAGCCACTTGAATCTCCTCTAGAACAGTACCAAGCTCTTCACATTGAAAACAATGGTCCCCATGGGTGTGTTGGCATTTCTGCTGAAAACAGCTGTCACTCGGATCACTCAAAGCATATGACATACAATGATCTGCTATGGTAGCCTCATCGTCAACATGTACCTATTAATATACCATTATTTTCTTAGTATGTGAACGCAGAAAAACAAAAACTTAAGTCACTGCCCCCCCCCCCCCCACACACACCCCTCATTTCAAATGTGTAAAATGGCTTATTATTGCTATTATTGCTATAGATGTAATTTGTAAAAAAAGACTTAACGCTTCTAAGTTATAAAAGACTGCTTGCAGTCCCCATCTTCTCTTAAAATCCGTCTAGTTCTTATCTCGGCCAGCGCGATTGCAAACCACGACGTTCTCGTTTATCGCGGCTCGCAACTTCGCCGCTCGCGTCCTTGATTTTTGCATGCAGTAACTTGGCAAAGAAAAATAGGAGACTTCTCGCAGTCTAAAGTTATAAAAGTAGCATGGATGACTAGGGTTGGGGTAGAGAAAATCACAGACCCTGAAATCAATAAAAGGGAGAGAAAAAAAGGAGTTGATGAACTTTAAAAACCTGTCAATAGTTCATTTTCGAATTTAAAGTTACCGCTGAATACAAAGCTATACAAACATTATATTACCGACGCATTCATACAAGGTTAGCCTAGACATAAAATGAAATATCCACAAATTCCGGCAAGTCAGTGTTTGAAATTTAAAGATACACAATAGATGGAGTAACAAACAGGTCTTCTTCTCGTTAGATGGGAATTTCAGATGGAGGCTAAGCCTGTAAAAAAATGCTTCTTCACTTCTTTCATTCATCGGTCATAGCAAACTTGAAACTGGACTATTATTTCTTTAAGCAATATCTTACCTTGAAGTCCGCCTTTAGGTAAAGTTTTGAGTTCTTGAGCATTTCCTGCCATCTTCCTAGCGTGGTATCTTCAACCAGGCCTTTAATTTGATTTAGGAGTGCAATCATCTTGTCAAATGCAGAGGCTCCATCGGCTGCAAAATAGTCCAGTCCCTGGAGGCTCTTTCTGACCGTCGCGCTACAAGCAGCTAATACACGCAGTATTGTTCTTTTACTGAAAGGGGTGAATCCGACTTCTTTGCAATACTGCTCATATTGAACAGCAATTCGCTCTGGTATTAGACACCGAATCACATCTGGTACTTCCAATACATTACCGTTGGACAGGCGTAAACTCTTTTGACCAAAAGGCATATCTTGAACAATATGTGGGCTTGTAATGAACTGCAAAAAATGGTCAAGTTGCGCCTCGTCTATCCGTATCCTCGCTGAAGGCTGCACAGGAACGGGTGTCGCTACTCCGTGCTGAAGACGATGTAAGTTTGCCACAGTGTATCTATACTGGGACAGACCGGGAATAAGTTCTCGTATGGTAGAAAAACTCGCAGTGGCAGTCATAATTGAGAGGATTTGTCTCCGCGTGTCCCAGCTGCCGGCATTTTTGTACGTTTCTGCTATGGCCTCGAGGTAAAGTCGTTGGGATGGGAGCATTATACCCTCTGCACCAAGCTCATCATTGACAGCCCTTGTTGCTTGGAGTGCCGACCAAAGATAACCTGCGTTTTCGGGGGACACCACCTTCAACACTGCGACGAGGATATCTCTAGTGTGTTGTATGTACCTTCGTTTTGTTCTATCAGCACTCTTTAACCACTCGAATTGTAAATTATCAACCGTTTTTACGTCACACTCAGAAAGGAATTCATTAAGCAGCCTTAAAGGTTTGTTGGCACGAAGAACCACTTCACCGGAGCTAGTTGTACTTGTGGTTTCGGATGACCCAAAAATGTAGCTGTCGTCAAATGAAAGGTGTTTTACATTGTCACATATATCTTCTATACTACTTGCCTCGGCTTCCTATAGGAGGGAAAAATATGAAAACTAATTAAATGATCGCAAACTAACGCAGGATACTGATTAAACCTATAGACTGCCTATCTGTTTAAACGACAATTACCAATAGAAACGTTTCCTGTCTTTTCTGTACGGACACGGGTTCAACAACAACTGTTGGTGAAGATAAGGCAGTTTCTGTAGAGTCCGTGGAAGTAGACACCATCATTTTACCCAGATGATCCCTGCATTGCCTGCAAATGGCTACAGATCAAAAAGAAACAAAGAAGAGTTAGGGACCGATCGTTTATTACGTCCCGGGGGGCGGGGTTTTCAGAAAAGTGTGGTGTATGAAAACCGTACCCCCTAAAATAATTTCATATGAAAATTGTACCCCCTCTTAACGATAAGAGTTTTTAAAATGCACCCCCCCCCACCTTTCCTAGACCAAGTTTTAAGATGACTCGACTTTCTCTCTTTCTTTGGACATCGACTTCATATTAAAGCTAGATGGGGTAGTTCGGTTAAGTAAAAATAGTTGATAGGGTCCTGGGACAAGCTTGGTTACATAGCAACCAGGCTGCCACGAAGGCGAGGGCGTGATCTCTGATCATAAATACAGTGGGCACAATAATTCTGTGCGGGTAGAATTTTGTAGCCGACAAAGAGTCATCAGCGCGACTTTTTGGTTTACTAATGAAGGAAAAGTGTTTTTTGTTTTTGTTTCAATTATGATATGTTTTAACAACTACAACATATAATGTCAATTCTGTGTCTTAAAATTTCGACCCCCCCTACACTTTTTACATTTTCAAAACTGACCCCCAAAATTAACCCTTTTCAAAAAATTGTACCCCCAAACCCCTCCCCGGGACGTAATAAACGATCGGTCCCTTAGGCACGGATAAATTAGCATGGTAATAGAAGCGGTGGTATTCTAAGTCCTTCTCACTCATTAACGCTCACTCGTTCTTTAAGGTAACCTGCAAGGGGATAATTCGGGGTGGGAACCCGGGAGAATAGGGGGCAGGAGAGGAAATCGCGCAACAATGCTTTTAAATATTTCGCAATCGAAGAATGGATAAAGGAAGGAAGCCAAGAAAAAAGGGGCGGAAGCCTGGAATGGAAGATACTCGTACGGAACGCGGCAGGTGACCCCCTGTTCCACCCCTATATGGCTCTTCGGTCGGCTATTTGCTCCGCAGGAGAATTTCCAGCGATACTTTAGGCAAGGAGAGAGACCACTGAGTTAATTGTCTGCAATATCGGCCGTTTGTTGGTGTTCCTCATCCTCTTGCGCACATTGCGTCCGTTTCATTTGTGAAAGAGGGTCAAAGCAATAAGAGTGTATTAGATTAATTTTACATACTTTTCCTACTAAAGTAATGTAAGGTTTGACTACACTTACGCGACCCAACTGGGACGAGCATTCCAGTTTCTTTAAAAACAAAACAAGATTGTTTTCTGTAAATTCCACGATCACCTCGACAGGTTGTCGACTTGTGACCCGCTACTTCTGCTGGAACGCAACATCTAGTCTTGCCTGTTCGCCAGCGAGTACCGTACGCGTCTCTGTGTTTAGGGCATACCGTCATATGCAACTGACATTCCTGTGCGATGAAAATCCCTGGTAAAGAAAACTTAATTAGTAAATTAATGCTGTAGAAGTGAATAGTGGGTATGTATTCATGTCGTAATCGAAAATTGTAAATCAAAATGATCTTTACTAACCTGCCCGTGTGAGTAATAATTTCCTTTCGTTGTTGACGCTTTCAACATCCGTCAAAATGTTACAACTCTTCAGGTGAGCTGTAACATCCCTAGTACAGTCTTTCAATTCGACAAAGTCAGCCACGTTTGGATTTTCAGAACTTGCACCACAAGCCCCCCCAAGAAGAGAAGCAAAGCTACAGAATGACATCGTTTTCTTTTTATGGTTTATGCTCTGTGAAAAACCTCGCACGTGTTTACCTTTAAGAAAAAGACCGTGATTGCATCATAGAAAATTATCGCCCAGACTGCAACACGGCATGATTGCTAACGTGACTTAAGTCCTTTTTATCACGTTTTATGACATAAATGTGGCCATTTTTCAGAAAAAGATAAGAGTGAATTGCGAAAAAAAAAAAAGTTGGGCTGCTAACTTGAGGACCTTGAGGTGAAAAACTACACCTAGTCAACAAAAATCATTAAATGGTGAACAAAACAGCGGCCCTTCTCCATAGTTAGGTGTAGTGCTTTTGAAATAGCGAGTCAACATTAACAGTCTCCTGCAATTCAAATTATCGTATCTACACATCAATTTACAGCCCTGTTCAGCAATGTCTACGGATTTTATATCGTATAATTTCATATCATTTCCATATCTAAGAATTTTTTAACCGTCTTTAACTATCTTGTTTACTTCGTAGCTCTCAAGTACGATTTCTACAACTGATTTGCATCATGCAAATTCCTGACCTTGGCCACAGTGCGACGAAAACGCTTTCATTTTGCAGGCACGTTTCTGGATTACCCAGATTTTTTATTTCATATTATTTGAGTATAAGGACCAAACTTTCTGCCAGCATGTAGTTTGACATGATGTCACACATACCAAGACGCGTTTTGAAGGCTTGAAGTTACGCGATTTTTCGCTTTTTGCAACAAGCGTTTGACAGCACTTTGTTGAAAAATCATATGAATTTTAAAATTAAACCAAAGCTTCTTAAAATGCCACAAATAAAAATCAAATGAATTATATTTTGAAGTAAAAGCATCCCCGATTTCTTACAAAACATCCTTCTTCAGTACTAGCACACTAAAGTTGGTCAATTTCACTGTATTTTTTGCATAATTAATTAGGTAAAAACCCGAATTTTCGTTTTTCCCCATTTTCTCGGAAACATTTGATTTTTCAAACTTTGAAATATTTTTTTGGAATGTATCTCCCTAAAAGGGTTTTCCAGGCAAATTATCAGAATTTTCGATTTTTTTAGCCTGGCCAGCGATTCTCGATATTTACAGTCATGAGCTCTTAAGCTATTAGAAAACCTCCGAATATTTTAGACGAATGAGAAAGGTTATCCAGAAATTTTGAGCTTTCTCAAGCTTTAGAAACCTCCATGCAATATTTGCTCCTTCGAACAGTTATTTTACAGGAAAAGGTCCCTTGCTGCCCCTCTTAAATCGCAACGGATCGGGAAAATAACCACGCTAGCCTGCGTAGCGGGGCGGTTTTGTCGAGCCTGCCCGAGTTGCTCCCGCCCCAATCTCCTCGCGGTTTCTCCGCCTCGCCCGCCTTTATTACTTCAACCAAAACCGCCATGCTACGCAGGCTATAACCACGCAGGAAGCAAGAAGACACCAAGTAAACAAGATAAAGCGTGTTTTATTGAAAATTCCTGCAGGTATTTATCTTCTCGAATCTATTACCTGAATTCCCATAGAAATGCGACGGCCATTTTGAGAATTACGCAACCGCACGTACTCTTACATTGAGCTTGGGTAGCCTGTGCTAAAACAGCGAACACTTCTAGCAAACAGCAGCGAGGGAAAGCCGGATCTTGTAGAGATCAGGATCAGCAGTATAAAATAACACTTATAATTGAAGGCAAGGCTGATCGGACAGCTAAGGGTTACAAGTTTATTTGCCCAACATTTCGACTAGACAAAACTAGTCTTCATCAGGGGCTGGAAAAGCCAAGTGAGAATAGAATAAACGGTTACAGTATTTAAAATAATACAACAAAAAAAAACAAAATGTGATTGGTGGAGGAGAACAATAGACAGAAACTTGTATGAAGAGGTTATATTATGTCAATATCTTTTTAATTTACAGTGCAACCTAGCTAAGTTCACGTTTTATGGAGGACGTAAACACAAGAAGACGCTTTCCTTTTTGTGTTTTGAACTTGAACACGATTCTTAAGAATTAAATTGTAAACACCAGAAAGATTTGCCTGCTCCAATAAAATTATAGTGATGAAGTTTTAAAAAGCCCGAATTCACCTTTTTCTCTCATTAACTGCCACTTTTCAAACTGTCAGGATAAAACAAATGATTCACAAGTTGGCTCATAGAGTGAAACATTTATGTACTTAAAATATGATTTTACAGCTTACGGCAAGTGGCCTAAAGGCAAATAAACTTGTGGCCTTTCACAGGCCCAAAAATACCATATTACTCTTCGTTTTCCCTCCAAATTTTGCGTAAGAATTGTTTTCAATTTCGTCAATTTCTCTCGTGACTTGCAATCGCCCTTGCCTAGTCCCTAGGTCTCATTTTCCCTCGCGGCCAAAGCGTTTCGGGTCACGTGGTCCATGCGAAATTTTCCCCGCTCGTTCGCCTCGGATACGTCACCGAAACGAATTGACCCAGAGGGACTGGGAAAACACCGTACAGGGACTAGGCAACAATCGCCCCAAGAAACAGAAAATTGCTAATGCAAAATTTTGGAGGGAAAACAAAGAGTATTAACCCTATTCAGACTGGGGGGGGGCTTTTCGAACCCCCCCTCCGGCAAAATCGTCATAACTCCTACACCGAAAGAGCTATGACGTTCAAATTTTCTGACTTTTCCTAAAATTTATCTAGGAACATTTTGGTATAATTACCATGTCCATGTGATTAATCATGTTGCCATGGCAACCAGTTTCTGACACAGGTTTTGGAAAATTTAAAAAATGGTGATTTTTTTGTTTTAAGATCGCGTTTTTACAGTGCTTTTTGTTGTTAAAATGGTCTTTGCTTGGGACTAGTTTTTGAATTACATCAAAATGTTTCAACATCGAATATTTGGGGGGGAGGGGTGGGGTAAAATTTGTCACTTTTTTGCTTTGACAAATATGCTGCTCTATTTTCCAAATAACACTTCCAAAGTCATTTGTTTGGGTATAAACATTAGTTTGATACTTCTTTTATACATTCTGAGCTTTTTCCCCTTTGAAAGTTGCTTTAAATTATCATTTTAACAAAAAAACGGAAATCCAAGATGGCGGACAATCATTTCAAATTTCAAATTTTATTGCTTCCTATTGCTTTTTCTCGCTGTACAAGTGTTTCCTTGTTACTAGTTCATAAGAAAGGATAACAAAGAGATGACATTACCAATATTATTGATATTTTACGTATCTAAGTGGAAACATTGAAAAATCGGAATATGACGTCACTGTGACGTCATCATTGGGCGTGGCAAGTCAAAACTGGGTGTGGGGCTTCTTTGTACAGAGATGATCATTGTGTGTAAATTTCATGACCCTAGCATTCTTGGTTCCAGAGATACAGAGGGGGGGTCCGAGGAGCCCCCCCCCCCCGTCACAGATTTACCAAATAAGCCCAGTCTGAAAAGGGTTAAACAAAGGCCTATGACGTAATCAGTAAAAGTTACCTGAAAACGGAGTAAAAATAGTATTTAAGAACAATCAAGGAAAACTTTAACTTCAATTTCATCCGATTACTTCGAGTCGCTATTACTCCGTCACTAACAGTTGCTGAGAGGAGAAAACGACTCGAAGCAATCGAATGAAATTCAGGCTATCACGAAAGCGCCTTCTTAATGGGCTGTATTTTTTTAGACTTCTCATAATGTCCTGAGTCAACCATGGTATTTGTTTGGGGACTGGGTCGATTTCTGTTTATTGGGGAGGGGAGGGGTGTTAACATTGACGGTACTGAAAAACGGAATGGCTCCAGAATTTAGATCTCGAGAGGTTAAATTCACTCTCTGGGACAAATACAAAACAATCATAGACCAGGGGCTTCGCAAGAAGTCCGCGATTGATTGATTGCTTTCTTTGTATAGTCTAGTTTGATTAAAGTATGTCAAGGATGACGGATCTCACCTGGAGGTAGATAAATATCCTCCACGTACCATACCTCTCTCCAACAATTGACTGTTCTAAAGCCGAGCATGTACACAAACACCTGTTCAAAAGTTCTGCTCCTCCAAGAATATGGCGGATTAAGGTTCATGGCGTTCAACATAAGCTCACTCACAACGTAACAGATTGTAATTGAAGTGTACCCCATACAAATACAAATTGTCCAGGACCTAAGCTTGTCAACTCCAAATGATGGAGAAAGTGTGTCCATTGTAACCCGCGACCTCCGGCTCGGCAGACCGGCGCTCTCCATTGATACATTTTATTTTCTCAGAAATTCAAAACATCATGAAATCAAATTGTTTAGAGGTTAAAAATTGGCATAACCACTATTTGTTTTATGCTCTTTCAGTCTTTGGTACTTTCCTGGTTGCCTCCCATAATAAAATTTAGTTTGAGATAGGTCATGGGAGCCCAAGCTTCATATATTTATAAGCTACATAGTTGCTTGGAAGTCTTTCATGATTTCATAAACCAGGATATTTGTTTCAGGGGAGGAGTATTTTTTTCTTAATTTTTAATTTTTAAAAATTAAAGTTAAAAATTAAAAATTCTACAAGTTAAAAAATTAGCAAGTGATGTAATAGGCCAAAATCAACCTTGCACACATTATTATTACAATATAGATAACAAAATTAATCTATGATGAAGTTGCTAACTGAAGATGATGAAGTTGGTCCATTCCTAGTTTTCCTGTTTTCATCTAGGAAGCCTCCTAGATTAAAACCTTCCAACATTTCACTTCCGTGAAATCTACACCCAGCAGGAGAGCATACCAAAATAAGGCTTGTTTGAAGAAGATATAGCACTACAATTCCACCAAAATGACTGACCAATGCACTGGCTAGCGACTGGTCTGAAATTAAATACCACATACACATGGTCATTCACCTTTCAATTTAATCTACTTGCACTGTTATCTTAATATGTCATATTGGGTAACCAGTCAAGTTGCCCAAAAGTCATCTCGCCCGAAGTTGTGTCCCCCGAAAACAGAGTTATGTTGCCAGAAATTTTTAGTTAAGTTGCCCAAAATTTTAATAAAGAAAGTACGTAATATGTATCATTTGCAAAACAAACGCGACAAAGATGTTAGAATGGTGTTGGGCATGATAAAATTTTGGGCAATGCAGATCAGCATTTGGGGTGACTTGACTGTAAACCCTCATAGTATGTCTTGACTGAATTGACTTGTCTAAATTGACTAAGAAGACCAGCAAACATGCATACCTTTAAAAATTAACTTACTTTATGATTGACAGAAAATACGGCAAACACAATATTATTTTTATTGATACACAAAGCCCGGGTATAAAACCAACTGTACAGAACATGGCAGCTCTCTTTTTTGTTTCTTTTAAACTTACTCCAGTCATTGTTAATAAAGGGAAATGGTTACGAAGCCTGTCAAACTTCTTTGTCTCTTGTCTTTTTTAAGTTTTTTTTTTTTTACTTAAACATCTAAAATACCGTAAAATTCCGAAAATAAGCCCCTCCATGTATAAGCCCCTCCAAATATAAGCCCCCCAAACTGGTAAAGTAAAAAACCTTCCGTTAAATCGCCCCTCCAAATATAAGCCCCCCGGGGGCTTATAACTGGAAAATTGCCCTCAAATACAAAGTAAAGCAAAGCAAAAACGGTAAAGTTACCTCTAACTATAGGGCTAGCCCAATCAATTTTGAGATGCTAATTTTCCTCCATAGATAAGCCCTTCCAAAAATAAGCCCCTCAAAAAGGGCCTTTGAAAAATATAACCCCCGGGGCTTATTTTCGGAATTTTACGGTATTCAATAGCATTCCTATCATTTGAACCAAATGACCAAAAGAAATGTCTCATTCATTTTTTAACTCATTATTTGTGAACAAAATAATGTGCATGCTTAGGGAGCTCCTAACATAAACTGCAGCACTGTTGTTTTCATCTTTGATTTTTCCTGCTTTGATAACCACTCCCCGCAACTAAATACTATTCAGTAGACCTACACACAGTTGTCCAAGACTGGGACAGTTCATAGTTCGATGCAACCTGCTTCATACTTCCGGTTTCGTTAAGGTTATGGCAATTTTCTTTTTAAAAATGTACCGGTAAGTGGGGCTCTCTTAACACAGAGTCAGCTTCAAGCCTTTCTTTTACCCATGAGTATTACCAAAATAATTGTGGTATAAATTATTATAGCAAATTAACGATGCACATTGACAATGCGAAGAAAATTTACATTACACAAAATTAATACAAATTTTCCAAAAGTTACGTTTGTAAACACACATTGAATTTACATGAAATTGTGAATTTGCTGCAATACAAACTTCTCAACATACATATGTAAAGGAAAAAACATAAATAAACGTACAGGGCTGTGCTCTAGCACAGCCCAGTGGCCACTGGCGCCTAACTTTTGCCCTCGGGCGACTAGAAAATCTCAGATTTTTCATTCAAATCATATGCTGGGCACCCTAGATTTTACAGTTTCAGAGCACTGGGCTTCCTTCAATTTTCCTTAGAGCACAGCCTTGATGTAAATGGAAATTTTAAGAAGAAAGACTGAAGAAGTTAGGTATCCCCTCAGAGAAACGGGTCAATACAGAGACCAGTCAAAAGACATTTTGAACTCAATTCTTAAAAGAACTTTCAAATAGTGACTCCGAGTCATTGATAGAGGAACTATGAGCAGACGAGGTTTTGTTATTGAAATAAAGGTGCTGCAAAAGAACAATGATGTAAAATAGTGTGATGTACATTAACAACGACATAAATTAAGATGCATTAAATTAACACGTTTTTTATAAAATCACGTTAATAAATTAAGTGCATCGTTAATTTCCTATAATGAGGTATTGCACAAGTCAGATTACAGCCGGAAATTTTTTGCCAATGGCACATGCTCTCATTGGATACTTCAAGGTCACATGACATCTAACCTAACTGGTCCTGTTTCCTCTGGACCACTCACTAAGGGTGCTTTCCATTCAACAAAAATTCCAGTTTGAAATTTTGGAAATTCCATGTGCCCAATGGAATGGTATATTTGGGTTGCACAGACCCAACCCAAACCACTACACGTTAGATTATTGTACTTGTACACAAAATACAGAAGCTAAGAGGGGCACTTGGGACAACAATTTTGTCAAAGGAACATTTTGGCCCAGCTGACCCAAATGACCAGGCCAGACAAAGTGGACCACCTTCAACAGTGGTCCCAAATATTCTGGTCGGACCAAACCGAATTGCCCATTTCATTTGAATTCTAACTGCAATTTCTGGAATTTTAGGCAGAATGGAAAGTGTTAATCATAAGGTTCCAAGAGTGGGACAAATACAACTTGAAGAATTGTGGCACTAGCCTGCTCACAGAATCACTTTGATCTTTCCCAGAGAAGTCAGGAGTGACTCTACTAGCAGGGTATCATGGCCACTGTGTTTGCAGTAGATGTTTGACTGATTGATCTCTTTGTCTAGTCTAGTTTGATTGACCAACTATGTCAAGGAATTCAGATCTCACCTGGAAGTATATAAATATCCTCCACGTACCATACCCCTCTCCAACAAATTGACTGTCCCAAAGCCGAGTATGTACACAAATACCTGTTCAAAAGTTCTGCTCCTCCAAGAATATGGTGCATTAAGGTTCTTGATGTTCAATACAAGCTCACTTACAAAGTAACAGCTAACAAATAAAGTGCACCCAATACAAATAGAAACTATCCAGGACTTAAGCTTCTCAAATCCAAATGATTCACAAAGTGCGTCCATTGTAACCCAAGTTCCTCGCCAATAGCTGATCACCGCTGCTCCAGTCACAAAAACGGTAAGAAAACTATTTAACATTTTCGAAAAGACACTAGCTGTGCAGCTATTCAACCAGGACTTTCCCTGGAAAACAGTCTGTAACTCATCATCTTTCGCCTCTGTGATACAATAGGACGGGGCAGCGGTGATTGAAGATGTTGTTTGAGTTGATAGAACAACAAAGAATCCGAGGGCATGTGAGAGAAGACCGCTAATCAAAGAAGTTGTTGTGTAATGATCCCATAGGATCCACAGTCCTCTCCAAGTGTTCACAATTAAAAATCCTGCTGAATAGAATAAAGCCAAATATGACAACTTCCTCCATTTTCTTTCATTTAAATTCGCCTTTAAATGATCTCCTATCAATACCACCACGTATATCGTTCCAAAGCTTACTGAGAAAGTAATCCATCCGCCGAGTAGCGGGCGATCGGGAAGGAAAATCGAGTCTAAAATCAACCAAGTTCCTCGCCAATAACTTACTAATGCTGGACAGACTACACATAAAACAATAATCAAGTTGAGGAGTCGCTTGGAAAAGAAAAATGAATATCGCCATCTTTGATTGCGTTCGAGGCACGAGATCTGTGTTGGGTATTCTGTGCAATTAATAAGGGAGGTTTTTTCGTTCGTTGTCGACGCACATTTGCCTCGCTTTGAGGCACTTGCTTAAGTTTTGCCTCACTTTGACGCCCTATCTCATGTGGTGATTGTTGTGCCTTGGCGTTCGTCTTTCAAAGGTTTGCTAAGGTCTGATATTCTTCGTAAAGCGTTCATCTTTTAAAACGTTTGCTGAATCTTCGTAAAGCGTACATCGATCTGTGATTGCTGAATCGTCCAAAGCGTTCATCTTTCAGGAGTTTGCTGTTAAATTTTTACTTTGGATTAAGCTTTCATATCATGTTTCAGCATGGTTCGTCACTGTCTTTAGAAAATGTCTGTGACTACTGGTGCATGCATCAAACCGGGTTTAGTTCGGCGGCCGTTATGCCACAAAGTAAATTTACCGAGTTGTGTAGCTCGGCGGCCGTTTTGTCACATAGTAAATTTACGAGTTGTGTAACTCGGCAGCCGTTGTGCCACAAAGTAAATCTACCGAGATGTGAAGCTCGGCGGCGCCATTTGACCATGACTTGTGATATCTTCGGCACCGGACAAACGAACACTTTAACTCTATGTTATTTATTAGGAAAAACTTATAAATCAGCCCACAATAGCGCCACTCTCGAGTCACTGAAATCAACACGCTCGACCAATTCCATTGAAGGCTTTGAGGTTAGTGCGAAGTTTGAATTCAGATGTGAAAGCTTTTAAACCAGTAAATTCAATGTAATTCATTTTGTCAACAAGTTGATGATTGGATGCTGTTAAAAATAACAGAGAAAATTATCCGAAGAAATTTTTTTGGAGAAAGAAAAAGAATCCCGGGTTAAGAACTAATCGGCCTTTGAGAAACTGCGCCCTGTAACTCGCGCCAGTGAAAAAAAATGTGCCATTTACATACACGTCCGACGCTGGCCAATGTCTCCTCCGATTAAAAGCACTTGACACCGAACCATACGATGTCTTTTTAAAACGTTCAAAATATGCCATAATCATGTTTATCTACATCGCAACCACCCTTCCGCCTCAACAAACATATCGAACGCACTCTCCTAAGCTCCGATTAATTCTAGTTTTAAAAAACGAGGAAGATTCGAGAGAAGGGAGCCAATCTCGTGGTGCACTTGTGTTATCATATCGATCTCATGGCGAGGCAGGGCGTGGGGTGGGGATTTGATTGTCTTTGTTGGCCTAGGGTAGGGCATTTGACTGATCTTGGTCTCCAAGGGAAGGGGTCTTCGTCCGACGTGGAGATATTTGTCTGCCAACTCGGACGAAGAAGACTGAGACCGAACATATCATTCCCGCTTCCACACTTCACGCATGCGCCGTATATCGTCCGGAAATTAAAGATCTGGAAATCATGGTGGCCAACGAGAACAAGCGAAAGCTGACTGGAATTCAACCTCGTCCCCAGGGCTTTTCCCTTAAATGGGTGGGGCGGGAAAAGGCCCTGGCATCGGCTGGTCACGTGCACAGCCTAAATATTCCTGAGAAGCTAATTTATATGCAACCCGCTGGTTTTGCGCTGACAGAAGTCGAACGGAGCAACAATAGAAAATAATAATATCGCGAACTGTATGTCAATATTTTCGCGTCTGTGCGATTCAAAAGCTTAAGATCCATTTAATTGCGTATTATTCAAATGCTACAAGAACCGGCTCTACGTTGTCACGTACAAAATATGTCAAATGCTTCAGAGTTGAGACAAGCTGTTATCGAGTAGTACTTCGACTGAAATTCATCGTGACTGTGGAATTACTGTACGATCAAGCAGAAAGTGATTTTGTCCAATGTCAAACAAAAATGCGGGCCTTTGCCTCTAGGATCTGCAGTGAATTTAAACAAATTGGACTTAATTGAAATAGAATTGTTCATCAAAATACTTTATGATGGAGTCTGGTCTTCTTTACAACCCGACCATGAAACAAACAAATCTCCGCGACGGATGCAAGTCAGCCCTCCAGCCAGGAACGATGACAGGTCGCCGATCTGAAACATTTTATGATCTCTTATATCTTTTCTCTTCCGAGGATAAGTACAAAGGATTTTCCTTATATCAAAGGGAAGATTGACCGATCGATTGGAATCAACTACAGCTCTGTCAATTTTAAATGGACCCAAGTCTTTCTTTGTTACCAGTCGTTTGATACACTGGGTGCCAGAAACTTTTCATGCGCGGTTTCCGGTTTCGGTCAAGTCTCGCAGAGGTCAATGAATTTTTAAAAAGACAGGTCATACAAGATAAGTCTAAACCAACGCGTGACGCTATGATATGGCTGAGAGTTAAGTTGAATAGAACTAGGTTGTGTACGGCGGTCCACTTCGCAAGAAATAAAATAAAATATCAAAAGAGTCGAGAAAACGGACTTTTCCAGTACAAAGTTTATGCATGTACGACCCGGGATGTACGATAGCTTGTTTGTCATTTATATCGCTCTATAAAGGAAGTTTTACAAATGTTACCGCTCGCTGTCCCCTTCATAGAAATCGGAGGAAAGCAAAAAATTACCATAGCCAGTATCTGTGACAAAAAAGAAATCTTGTAAAACTTTTCGTTAATCGTCAAGAGATATAAAAGGCCGCCCAAGATCGCGCGCTGTGAGGTTACGCATAATTTTAGCTTTTCACATAGCGCTAATTTATTACACCCAGGATTTTAGGGTGTACGAGGGGACACGTGACCAGCCGATGCCAGGGCCTTTTCCCGCCCCACCCATTTTTTAAGGGAAAAGCCCTGGGGACGAGGTTGACTGGAATTCACTGTTTTGTCTTCAAATTTCTTTTGTTTTAGCGTGTTTTTGATCAATTGAACCTCTTAAGTGGTATCAAAGTAAACGGAAGTAAAGAGAAACCAAGTCGATTCTTGCCAGTACAATTAATCAGTGTATGGCTCATTCGCTACAATCACTGTATAAAGCTTGTAAAACTGACTTTCTTTGTATCTTTTACTAAGAATGGTATATTTAAACTTACAAAATGTGGACTTTCTCTTGAAAGGTTTCTGTATTCTACGCAGTGTAACACCGATTATGGTTAAAACGTATAATTGCAGCTGTAACAGGAACATGTATCTTTGGTGATGCAGTAACGTTTATAAATAAAGATTGCAGAGTTTTATTTGGAGATATTTTCATTGTGCCTTTCTTGGGTTCTGCCTTGGGATATTTGATAGCAATGTGCAGCCCGGGGTGGGGAAATGTAGTTGTATTTGACTGGAATGATTTGCCCGTGGGCAGGGAATTTGACGGCAAATTTTTGAAAAATGTCAAATATCCACCCCCATGCCCTGCCCCCTCCCCACCCACCGGCTTTACATTGATAGGTGCATTAGTAAAATTCAACTAGTGGTCTATTATCAATGTTGCGTTCTGATTGGTTGAGCTACTACTAGGCTATATGTTATAGCCCGCTAGTAGCCCAAAGCGCCGGTTTTTTGACGGAAAAAAAGGCTTAAAGTGTAGCTTTAACTGGCTAAAGTTGTTTTGTCTCGATGTTTTTGACCAACTAGTTGGGTTTTACTAAAACAATTATTCCTCGAGCCCGAGGGCCATCCCCGGACTCGAGGAATAATTATTCAATATCGACCGTAGCCCCCTTGGACACTTCATGAAATTTACACAACGTAATTTTCCCCTTTACTTATAAGCGACAGAGCCCTCTGTGACGCGGTTGTGCCATCATACCGTCCAAAAGGACAGCCGAGGGGTACTAGGAACGAGTTTCTGATTCGGACCGACTTCGGAAATTCTCGAAAACATCCAGTATGGCTGCTCAAGTGTGGTGGAAAACTGACAGAAAAAGGACCCGTTTTATCGCCACAGAAGCGCGATTTTACGGTATTGTTGACGAAGATTGCGATTATTGTGACTTTTGAAGAGTTCTTGGTCCTGTATAGTGAGCAATACTTTTATAAATGTCTTATCAATTTGTCTTGTTCCGCTGGCCGGCATTACCGAAGAAAATAGTACCGTCCAACGGGACATCCTAAATTATGGCAACATTTCTCGGCATGTACATCACCTTTAGCTTTCTTTGTTAAACTGTGTTATAGAACTTGATTTCTGTAGGTTTCTACAAGCTTAAGATAACTCTATAGTAATATTTTTATTCATAAAAGTGGCCTTGTCCTTTTGGCCGGTATTACCGAAGAAAATAGTACCGTCCAACGGGACATCCTGAGTTTTAGCAACAATTGTTAGGCGGTATATCATATCTGGGTTTTTCACTGCTAAACGGTAATTGTTTAGGTTTCTAAAAGGCCAGGGTAACTAAACAGGAATGCTTTTTTTTTTCATAACAAAATGCCTTGTCCTTTTTGCCTGTAATATCTAAGGAAATAGTACCGCTTAGCAGGACATCTAAACTATGTCAGCAGTTGGTTGCATGTATTACTACGTGACATGCAGCTTGTTATTGTGACACTGTAATACATACCTTGCTTTCTGAAGGCTTTTTCCTACCAGCTGGGGACAGCTGAACAAAGATAGTTTTATTCATTCCTTGTTGTTGTAATTTCAAAATCAAATATAGACTGTTCACAGTCCCCAATTTTTTCATGAGATCGTTTAGATATACCGCGTCTTACCATCACGGCGTCACGGCTATCTTGATTATTAAATGTACTTACCGAGCGGGCGTCGGGGATTATATGCAAGATGGCAGCCCGTGACCCAAAGTGCTTGATCTCGATGATCTTACGGAAAAATAGAGGACTGTGAACAGTCTAAATCAAATATTTATTATGTAAGGATACATAAAAGGAAACGACAGAGGTTATCCCTATTGAGGATGCTCCCTACATAAAATATAAAATAAACATACTGCAATGCAAAATTTAAGAAAATTTACAAAATTTTATAATACTTTCTAAGTTTACTTCGAATCACCTAAGAATGTCCACCCAGGGGGGCACTCTATAGGGAGTACTCAGGTATAACAGTGATGGGGAA